AGGGGATAAAAGATCATAATACAATAAGGCAGTCAATTGTTCAAGAAGATATGACAATCATAAATATATATGCACCCAACATTGTAGTACCTAAATATCATAAGCAAGTACTAACAAAACTGAAGGGAGAAACTGACAACAATACAATAATACTAGAGGACTTAAAGATTCCACTTTCTATAATGGATAGATATCCAGACAGAAAATCAACAAGGAAAAGCTGGACTAATACCAGGCTTTGGACCAAATGGATATAACACATACAGAATATTCCATTTAGCAGCAGCAGAATACACATTCTTCTCAAGTTTGCATGGAACATTCTCCAGAACAGATCATATGGTAAGTCATAAAACAAGTCTTAGCAAATTTAAGACTGAAATCATACAAAGTAACTTTTCCAACAACAATGATATGGAACTGAAAATTAACAATAGAGAGAAATCTGGAAAACTCACCAGGTATGTGGAAATTAGAGAACATGCTCTGAAATGACCAGTGGGTCAAAGAAGAAATCAAACATGAAATCAAAAAATATACTGAAACAAATGAAAATGGAAGAACAACATATCAAAATCTATAGGATTCTGCAAAGCAGTTCTAAGAGGGAAGTTTATAGCAATAAAAGCCTCCATATAAGAAAAAAAAAAGGTCTCAAATAAACAACCTAACTCTATATACCTCAAGGAAAAAGAAAAAAGAACAAACAAGCCACCAGATTAGCAGATGGAAAGAAATACAAAATAAGAGTTGGTTTCTTGAAAAGACACACAAAATTGACAAATATCCAACCAGACTAAGAAAAGAAGAAGATTCAAATAACCATAAATGAAAGAAGAAACATTATAACTGATAACGTAAACACGCAAAGGATCATCAGCAACTATTATGAACAATTATACGCTGACAAATTGGATAACCTAGAAAAAGTAGATAAACTCCTAGAAACATATACTAATACTAAACATATACTAAACATATACCAATACTAAATCATGAAAAAATAGAAAATCAGGACAGACCAATAGTGAGTAATGAGATAGAATCAGTAATCAAAAACCTCCCAACACAGAAAAGGCCAAGCCAGATAGTCTCCCTGGTGAATTATACCAAACACTTAAAGAAGAGTTAATGCCAATCATTCTCAAACCCTTCCAGAAAACTGAAGAGGAGAGACTATTTCCAAATTCAACCTATGAGGTCAGCTTTATATTGATACCAAAGTCAAATAAGAACACTGTAAGAAAACTATAGACCAACATCTCTAATGAATACAGATGTAAAAATTCTCAACAAAATATTGCTAAACTAAATTCAACAGAACATTAAAAGAACCAAACACCATTATCAAATGGTATCTATCTCTGGAATGCAAGGATAGTACAACATATGCAAATCAATAACTGTGATATACCACATTAATAGAATGAAAGAGAAAAGATCATAAGATCCTCTCATTAAAAACAGAAAAAGCATTTGACAAAATACAACATCCTTTCATGATAAAAATAATCAGCAAGTTGAGTATAGAAGAAACATACCTTAACAAAATAAAGGTCACATATAATAAACCCACAGCCAATTCATACTCAATTGTGAAAAGCTAAAAGCTTTTCCTCTAAGATGAGGAATAAGACAAAGGTGCTCATTCATACCACTCATATTCAACACAGTATCAGAAGTTGTAATGAGAGCTGTCAGGGAGGAAAAATAATAAAAGTCACCCAAATTGGAAAGAAAGAAGTAAAACTGTCTTGCAGAAAATATAATCTTATATAGAGATAGTCCTAAAGACCCAATCAAAAAGGTGTGTTAGAACTATTAAATTCAGTAACTCTGTAGGGTACAAAATCAACATAGAGAAATCATTTGAATTTCTATACACTAACAACAAAACAGCTTAAAAAGAAATAAAGATAACAATGCCTTTCTCACTAGCATCAAAATCAATAAAATACTTCAGAATAAATTTAATCAAATAAGTGAGAGATCTGTACCCTGAAAATTACAAGACTTTCATGAAAAAAATCTAAGATGCAAAAGGAAAGATATCCTGTGTTCCTGGATCAGAAGAATTAATAGTCAATACTACCCAATACCAATTGCAGTTTCAATGCAATCTATATCAAAATTTCAATGGCATTTTTCAAAAATAGAAAAAGTTCCTAAAATTTGTATGGAACCACAGAAACTTTGAAAAGTCAAAGCAATCCTGAGAAAAAAACAAAACTAGAGGTACACAATTCCTGATTTCAATTACACAGTATGATACGGTTACAAGAGCAGACCAATGGAACAGAATGGAGAGTCCAGAACAAAACCCCATGTACATGCTCAACAAATAATTTGATGAGGGAGCCAAAAATACACAACAAGGAAAGGAGAATCTATTTGATAAATGACACTGGGAAAACAGGATATTCACATGCAAAAGAATAAAAGTAAACCCCTGGTTTACACAATTCACAAAAATTAACTTGAAATAGATTAAAGACTTAAATGTAAGAATGAACACCATAAAAATCCTAGAAGATGACATAGGGAAAAAGCATTGACATTGACACTGTTGTTGGCAATGACTTTTTAGATATGACACGAAAGCACATGCAGCAAAAACAAGAAATAATAAATGGGATTTCATCAAACTAAAAGGCTCATGCACAGCAAAAGAAACAATCAAAAAATGAAGACGATCTATGGAGTGGGAGAGAATATCTGCAAGGAAAATGTCCAAAATATATAAAGAACTTGTAAAACTCAATAGCAAAAACCCAAACCTGATTTAGGAATGAGCAAAGGAATAGAATAGACTATTTTCAAAGACATAAAAATAGCCAAAGATACATGAAAATATGCTCAATATATCACTAATATCAGAGAAATGCAAACCAAAACCACAATAAGATAACTCCTTACATTTATTAGAATGGCTCTCATCAAAAACTCAAAGAAGTAACAAATGTTGGCAAAAATATGGGGAAAATGAAACACGCACTGTTGGTGGAAACGTAAATTGGTATAGCCACTATGAATAGCAGTATGGAGGTTTCTCAAAAAGTTAAAAGTTGAACTACCATATGATCCAGCAATCCCATTTCTAATCCACTTCATATCCAAGGGAAATGAAAACAGGATCTTGAATAGAAGTCTGCATCCTCATGTTTGTATCAGCATTATTCACAATAGGCAAGATATGGAAACAGTGTCTGTCAATGGATGGATCAATAAGGAAAATGTAGTATTTATATAAAATAACATTTTATTCAGTCATGAGGAAGAAGGAAATCCTTCCATTTGTGCCAACATGGATAAACTTGTCGGCATTATGCCAAGTGAAATAAGTTAGACAAGGAAAGACAAATGCTCTATAATATTGCTTATATGTGAAATCACCAAAAAACAAACAAAAAACTGAACTCAAAGAAACAAAGCATACATAGCCTGTGATTACCATAGGCTGGTAGGTAGGGAAAGGGAGAGATGTTTGTTAAAGGGTACCAATTTCTAGTTATAAGATGAATTAAGTTCTGGGGTTCTAATGTACAACATGATGATTATACTTAATAATACTGTATAACATACTTGAAAGTTACTAGGAGAAAAGATTTTAAATGTTCTCACCACAGAAACAAATGGTAATTATAGGACATGATAGAGGTGTTAGCTAACAATATAGTGGTAATCATTTTGTAATATATAAGCATACCAAATCAACATGTTATATACCTTAAAATGACACAATGTTATAGGTCAATTACATCTCAATAAAGCTGCAGAAGGCGGTAAGGGTCAGGACAGATTTAAACTTAAGACCTAAAACTGTAAACTACAAGAAGAAAACAGGGGAAAGCTCTTGAACATTGGTCTGGGAAATAATATTTAGATATGACCTAAGAACACAGACAACAAAAACAAAAATAGACAAGTGGGACTGCATCAAACTAAAAAACTTCTTTTTTTACAAAAATTATTTATTTATTTTTAGAGAGAGCAAGAAAGGGAGGAGGGGCAGAAGGACAGAATCTTTCAAGTAGACTCCCCACTGAGCAGGGAGCCCAATGTGGGGCTGGACCCAAGACCCATGAGATCATGACCTAAGCTGAAACCAAGAGTCAGACACTCAACTGACTGAGCCACCCAGGCGCCCCAAACTAAAAAGCTTCTTAATAAAGGAAACAATCAACAGAGTGAAAATGAGACGTGTAGGAGAAATATTGGCAAACCATGTATCTGATAATGAGTTAATCTACAAAATATGTAATAACTCATACAACTCAAGAGCAAAAAAAATAATGAGATTAAAAAATAGCAAAAGACCTGCATAGACACGTCTCAAAAGAAGACATACAAATGACCATTAGATTTATGAAAATGTGCTCAGCATCACTAATCATCAGAAAAATGTAAATCAAAACCACAACTTACACCTTTTAGGATAGCTATTATCAAAAAGATAAAAAATAAAAAGTGCTAGCAAGGATGTGGAGAAAGGGGAACCTTTATACACTGTTGTTGGGAATGAAGTTGGGCACAGACATTATGGAAAACTATATAGAGACTTCTCAAAAATTAAAAATGAACTACATTATGATCAAGCAATTTCATTTACTGGTGTATATATATATATATATATATGTAACTAATATGTTAAGTACCTTGATTGTGGCAATTATTTCACAAAACATCAAAACATTAATTCATATACCTTAAATATGTATCTTTGTCAGTTATACCTTAATAAAGTTTGAAAAAATAAAAATATAGATGTTCAATAGAATAAAGAATTTAAATATATAAATAAAATTTAAATCATACATACATACATACGTATATAATTATGCATATAATTATATATGTGTGTACATATGCACATTGTTATAAATATATTTATAAATGTAATATGCATATATATACACATATATAATTAATTGCCACTTGTCTTGGTAATGTAAATAAAAATATGAAGTACCAACTATGTAGATTTTACAAAACAAAATTACCTTTTCCAAATGTGATCTCACAACGTGCATCTGGATCCTGGCAGCCTCCATCATAACACATATATTTTTCTTTACATACATGTCCATTCTGTATAGTTACATCATATGGACACTGCGGTGAGCTTCCATCACAAAACTCAGCAATATCACATTCATGATGTTTTGCTCCCCTACACTGAACACCTGCTCTTTCAATCTAATAGAAATTAAAATATAAAAAATAAAGCATTACATTTAAGAGTGTTGTGTTTCTCAATATTTATTTCAAAATTGTCCTATTTCAAAATTAATTCTATTTATAGTTTAATGATCTATTTATTCATTAATGTCTATTAGTACCTTCTTTGTATAAAGCATTATGCTTATCATATTGAAAAAAATTGAATGTTATCAACTACAACAGGAAATAAGCATATGCACATGAAAAGTATAACACAAATACGATGTGATGATAGCCAAAGTTCTGTTTGCGTTTCAGTACAAGGGAGGAAAAATCACTTTTATTGAAATTATTTCTTGGGTGAAAACAGTGTAATTCAGACAATTTCCAAACAAAATACACTTATTCAAAGTATAGTTTCTAAGTATGGAATATTTGTAATTCTATGACAAATATGATACATAAATAACTGAGAATTAACAGAGGAAAACCAAAGGGTAGTTAAAGAGGCGGTTCCTAGAGAAGGAACTCAATCATAATTATTCTCCTAAATTATCCTGTAGTTAATTAACAGTTTTATATACAGAATCTGAAAATGTATACAAACAATCTTAAAGGGGCATCTATCTCATACTTCTTAATTGATGATTTCCAGATGACAACAAAAAGATCACAGAGGTAAGAATGTAACCACATAAGATTCTAGAAAAAAATAACAAAACTGCGTTAGTTGAGGATAGTCAAGAACACAGAACCCATGGTAGGTAGTTCACTAGAGGGACTGTCATATGACAAATCTGTTACAAATGTATTGCAGAAGCTGAAAAGGAAAACAGGGGACAAGAGTCAACATCTTCAACATATAAACTAATATGTGATCTTTCAATTAAATGATCTTTGAATAAATAATAAATTTGTAGTTTAAACTTTGTGCTAACGAAGCATTTAGAAAGTCCTATTCTATGTGCTATGGTGAGCGCTTTGAATTGTGTAAGACTGTTGAATCACAGACCTGTACCTCCGAAACAAATAATACATTATATGTTTAAAAAAAAAA